TTTTCCTTTTTTTTTTTTTTAAAGGCAGCTCGAGAGGTGCTGGGAACGCGCGTTCTTAAAGCACGCTGTGGCCTTCTAGCGAAAGCAGCTACCCCGCTGTTTAAGCAACGCTAAGATAAGAAAGATGCTTGGAAGAAAGCCTTGGTCTTGTAAATTCTTTGCCGGCCCCGATAAGGGCAGGAACGAGAGATGCAGCATGCCTCTGACCCCATAAAGCTGTAACTCTACTCCTTGATTTTTCTCTCTCCCACCTCCCCCCTGCGTGCTCCTTCCTCCACGGGGATGTTTCTAACTGCAGCCAAAGCCCCTACGTCGCAGAACAGAGGGAGGGTACTCATGCAGGCAAAGCCAGGCCAGCGATGTTGCTGGTTCCCCCGCGGTTTCCTGGACGAGAAGGCACCGTTTAGTTTTTGTGCTCTGTGTAGCAGAGATAATCCTTACCTACTTCCGCAGGCTGCTGTGAGCTTTCACGTTTGCAAAGCCGGGTGCAGAAGGCCGATGTGCCCGATTGCTTTGTGTGATCCGTTCCTTCTCAGTCCACAGTATGCGAGAAGATCATGGAGCTCTTGGGCCAAAACGAGGTGGACCATCGCCAGCGCAAGGTGGTCATTCTCAGCCAGGACAGGTTCTACAAGGTGCTCACCACCGACCAGAAGGCCAAGGCGTTGAAGGGGCAGTACAACTTTGATCACCCAGGTAAAGCTACAGAAATCAGGCGCCCGTACACACGGGCGCTCCTCATATGGCTCAGGGGAAGGAGGCGTGCCTGCAAGGGGCACTGAATCTGTTTTGGAGGACAGCTGGGAGTGTTGTTCCTCTTACCGTTGGAACTGTAGCAAATCCTTCAGGGCAACCTGTAGCACCACAGGGGTGTTTGCGTTGCTTTCCCTGTTAATCAAGCCCCTGTGAAACCTCTCTTGCAATGAACCGCTCCCTCCTGCTTTGCTGCACCTCTCTGGTGGGCGGATGTTAGCTGCTGTCTGGAAGGGGGTTTTGCAAAGCATTTCCAGACTTTTAGCACCTAGAGACAGGCTATTGTAACATATTTGCTGTGCTGGGAGGTTGCCAGTTTTAAAGCTGCCTGCCACGAGGGTAGCAGCTTCTCTAGGCGTGACAGTTGTTAAAGCAGGCAGCAGAGTGTCTCTTGTCATTCATTTAATGTGTTACAAGACCACCAGTATTCAGGGAACAGACTGCCAGAAACTCTGTTACAAGGGTGAGCTGTTGCCAGGAGATCAAGTCTACTCGTGGTGATGTCTTATTGTGACTAAAGCTGTGCAAGCTTCTTCCTCTTGTCTTTTGAGGTTCAGTTTTACCAAATGCACACTAGAGCTAAAGCACAGTTGAATTGATGTTTGGAGACTGGCTGGGGTTTACTGAAAGGACTTGGAGAACAGGTAAAGTAATGGACAACCTGTAAGGCTAAGCCAGAAAGAACAGAAATGCTTCTTCCTTCCACGATTGTGTCTTTAAATTGCACGCATCACCGCCAGGAAATCTTGGAACTTGCACTGCTGCTGCAGGTGATAACTTCCGTTTTACCGCATCTTTGCGGAGTGATGCTGAAGAGTTGGAGAGCGTTCCAGCTTGTGTGGTGCTCTGTCTCCTCAGTTGCAGCTGTTGAAAGGCACTGAAATAAAACGCACAGAGCTCCAAGTCCTTTCCTGATGAATTCTTTTCCACGCAACAATGGGAAGAATGAGCTGCCTTTGTCCGAAGCCTAATGTCTGTTGTGGTTTAAACAGGGTGGGTAACTCTCCTGAAAAGCCCTAAAAATGTCTGAGGTTTTCTAAATTACTTTTAACTAACAGACTAAGAGAGACACACAAAGAAATACTTTATGTAACTACCAAGTGGTAGGAATGACAACTTCACGGTTGGGTTCTTTATTTCAGTGTACTGTAGTTGCTTATAAACAACGAATTCTCTCTTCCTTGTCTTTGTAACCAAATACAGCAGTTGTTATAATTTGGGGTGGGGAGGGGGTCAGAGTGCTGCTGGTGGGAAAGAATAAGCCAGAAGGTCCCTTTCCCATGGTGCAATACTAGACCGCGAATTTTTTCCTTCAGGACTAGAAAAATCTGAGCAGAACATTTGGTATAGCGGCATCTGAACTTCTTCCTCTTTATACCCTCCTCTTCCAGATGCTTTTGATAATGATTTGATGCATACAACCTTGAAAAACATTGTTGAGGGGAAAACAGTTGAAGTACCAACCTATGACTTCGTGACCCATTCTAGGTAGGTTTCAGCTCTGTGCCAAGTCTCTGGCTTGCGTAGCCACCTCTGTTTGGTGCAGGAGCTGCCCCTGCTTACCACCTGGCCCTTAAAGACTCTTTGAATGTGGTACAAGAGCCATTTAACCAAGTGCTGTGTGCTTTTTTTTTTTTTTTTTCCTTTCTTGGCAGGCTGGCAGAGACAACAGTGGTTTATCCAGCTGATGTTGTTCTTTTTGAGGGGATCCTGGTCTTCTACAGTCAAGATATTAGGGACATGTTCCATCTCCGACTCTTTGTCGACACAGATTCGGATGTCAGGCTGTCCCGCAGAGGTACTGCTCTGCTGTCACGCGGCAGTGTCAGCGTGGTGGTGCTCCTTATCCATCTTCACGTTCGTGGTACAACTCATGGTTTCTTATTTTCCTGTTCCAGTTCTGCGAGATATGAAACGTGGGCGGGACCTTGAGCAGATCCTCACCCAGTACACGACGTTTGTTAAACCTGCCTTTGAGGAATTCTGTTTACCGGTACTAAATGTTTCACTAATTTGATTTGTGCTTTTTGGGGAGAGAAAGAAAAGGGTTGCCTGGGAATTAGCTGCACCGTAGGTGCAGCAATAGTGGCAACAGCTTTTGATACTGGTCTTTAATGAGTCCCACGCACTCCCCCTCCCTCATCTATTTATTTAATCACTGCAAGCTCTTTGTATAAGGAACCTAAGGTTGGTCCTTTCTGCTTGCAAAGCACCATGGTAATCTATAGCAACTATGCACATTTTCTCACTCCTCGCTGCCAAGGCTGTTTTAGCATGGGGCCTTTGACTGGAATGCTCCCATACCTCATTTATTCTTAAGTCTTGAGGGACAGGGGGGAAGTCTATTTATTTCCAGCAGACGCTTTCTCAACAAGGAATACTGATGAAACCTGAGGCAGATCATTATACAGTCTGCTTGTTATGCCATACAATGCAAGGCCAATTTAGGTGCTCACATAGTCATCCTATTAATTTGTAAAAGCCTTTGAGAACAAAATCCTGTATGTAGATTAAAGAAGATGGAAAAGACTAGCCCAGGTGTCTCTTGTTCTAGATAAAAGCAATGCTGAGGTTGTAAAGGTACTCACTAAAAATGCTCAAATTGCTAACTGATTTATAAGTTGGGGGGGGGACTATGGATTTTATAGGTGGTTAAAAAAAATCAATAAAAACCTCGTCAGAGGCAGGAAGGAATTTCACATGCACATTAGGGGCCTTAGCTCTCAGCAGAGATTTAGTAATGGCTTGTGAAATGCTGATTAGAACCAACTCTTACCAAACAGACCTCAGCCTTGAAACCCTTGTACCACGCAAAACAGACAATCCGTTTCAAGGCAACATACTCTTCAAAAGGGCGTAACAAGTACTCCCACACTTGACCTACCTGGTCAAGTGTCTACCTGGCTTTTACCTGGTGATTCGTTACAAAGGGACAGTAGGAAGATGTTCCTGACCTTACATCCACTGTATGTTACCTGGTACAATTTTTTCAGTTCATTTAGATACTGCCTTGGCAGCAAGCTTTAACTTGCAACACAAGAGCATTAAAATAAGTTAAAAAAAAAAAAAAGAAAGGAAAAAGAAAACGCCATCTTTGCGCTCAGATTTCAGGTGCTTGGTAGTTTCTTCCTTGCCTATAACTGGCTTTTCCCAGTAACAGTCTCTACCACCATTTCTGTTTTGCAGACAAAGAAGTATGCAGATGTGATCATCCCCCGAGGTGTTGACAACATGGGTAAAAGGGAGTTCAATTCTCTGGCTTTAGGGAACCCACCGTTGGGGTTGGCTGTGGGGAAGTGACAGTGTGTGGGGTACACCACTGCCCTGCTGGCATGCTTATAATGAAAGGTGTTTTGTTGGAGGGATGCAGGGGAGGGAGTTGCTCAGAGCCTGGCCTGGATTTTCAGCCACTCAGTCTACGAAGGACTGGAACATGTTATACACGACTGGAGGGGCAAAGCAGGATGCTGGTTTTAGAAGCTGGCATTGCAATTGTCTGCCTCTATTGAGGTTTGACCTCACTGCCGAAGGCAGGCATAGTTTCATTGAAGGGCCTGCTGTTAGTTTATGCATTTGAGTTGGACAGGGTTGGATGCTCCACCTTTTTTTTGGATAGCTCAGCCAAGAATGTGTCCTGTACTCGCTGTTCCTCTCTGCAGTTGCTATAAACCTCATAGTGCAGCACATTCAAGACATCCTGAATGGAGACATCTGCAAGTGGCAGCGAGGGGCAATGAATGGACATGGTCGGACCTACAAGCGCCCGTTCCCTGAACAAGCAGAAAGCAGCAACGTGCTGGCAGCTGGCAAACGGTCCCATCTGGAGTCCAGCAGCCGTCCTCACTAACCTGCTAGCATCTGAAGGGTTTGCCTCTGATCCAGACAACTGGCCAAGAAAACTTTGGGAAAGAAAAACTATTAATAAATGGTTTGTGAAGTGCCCTTTCAATGGTCATAGCAGCAGAAGGGATACTGGTGCGAAACCTCGCAGAGAGGAGAGGAAGGAGTTGGACTACTGCCCCTCTCCCTGCTGAAAACCCTCCCCTTTCTCCCTAGGCCGTCTGGCTCTATTATGTTACTCATTGAACTGGTTAGAGGCAGCTCTTCTTGCCTTTTTTTAAAAGTTTTCAAAGTGGCATCTAATGCTGTAAAGTCTCCCCTGAAAGTTAAGCACTACCACGTGTTTAACAAGATATCCCATTTCCATGATGCTGCTCTTCCTTAGCAGGAAAATTAGCTGTGTTTTCTTTTTCTTTTTTTTTTCCCTAAAAGGAAAACAGTCTCTCTTGTCAGACCATGTTAATTTAAACAAGCAGGTGCAGTCTTTATTCTTCTCCACCTGCTCTTTGGGACCTTGAGACCTAGTTCTGGCACTGCTTTCCTGCTGACCAGCCTCCTTTATCACATGTAGCAGCTGTGGAGCAGGAGGCCTGACCTTATGAACACAACTGTAGCAGAATCTCTTCCCCAAGCTAGAGGAGAAACAAAGGCTCTCCGGGACAAAAGGGAACCTACAGTTCATCAAGAGGACAGGCCTGAGAAGCAGTGTGATTCTGGTTCATAATCTCTACCTTCTGAGGCTCCTGAACCTTGCTACACTGTATGTAGGTGAGGCTTTCCTTTTTGTACCCAAATAAAAGTCTCCTTTACCATAGTTATTGAATAGTGAGCGCCAGCTGGATTGAGTTGCTCACTTGGAAAAATAAACCTGACCTTGTCAGGTTTAGTGGCTTTGAGGACACTTCTGTACTGATGGTTCCAGGTTCTGCTGGGCAGAATCGATCCACTTGCAGAACTGGGTGGTGAAATCTGCAAAGGGGAAAGATGTTGCAAAACCCTCCTTCTGATAGTACAAACAGCTATCTATCTGCACACGTTTCTACCCTGAGTAGAGTCAAAGTGCTTACCTTTCACTTGAGCAGTTTTAAACTCATGAACATTCTGGTTTTTCTAAAAAGAACATAGGAGGCTGGAAGTATATACAGTGATATCCCTATTTCTGTAATGTACCCCAGATAAATGAAACCACAGCAACATAGTTTCTGGAAAACTTCTGAAATGAAGCATCAGTTGGGCCTCTCAAAGTATCTATGTTGTAGCTTTCTGTCACTGAGTCTGCATTTAGAGTAGTTGTAATGGGGAGGGAAATGTTATTAAGAGGAACTTTTTCGTATTTGCTAGTTTTCTAAAACGAAGGTCTGGCTGTGTTGCCTGTGGATGTGTTGCTTTGGCTAATAAACAAATGAACAAACAGTGAGCAGAAATTGCCCTTTTTTTGTAATATATAAAAGGTGTTTGTGCTACTTCTGCTACAGCAACTCAAACATACCAAAAGGAACACTTTTGGCAGTCCTCTTATACTCATCGTATTCTTATACTCAACTTCTTTCTCCCTCTAAGGTCAGCTCAACATTGTTAGCTTCATTTCCGTAATGGCTGAAGCTTTAGAGAAAAGAATAAAAATGCAGTCTGCACTGTCATCCCTATAGCATCTACAACACAGTAGAAAGCAGTAGAGGTTGGTTAGCTATCTACTAGAGAACACCATGGCTCAGTGGTATGTGTGCTGAGGAGAGAGGGGAAAGCAGGTCATTTCGTGACTGCTGCTGAGCTCTTTTTAGATCAGGGTGACAGACTAACTTAGAGCATGAGCTACTTCACTGAAGCATTAGCCATCAGAGCACCTTTAAGGAGTAGCAAAATAGTCACTAAACTCTCCTTTGAATGAATCTAGTGTTTGATCATACCTTCTTAGTAGGGGAGAAGATCAAGGCAGCCTTGAACAGCATTTGTTACAGCAGTAGGGAGCTCTACAGTTAAAAACACCCTGGTCAGTCTAGACTGCTGTTCTGGGTAAGCTTTAATCGCTATTGCAAGATAATGCAATATCTGCTGCAGCCACCAAAAAGAAAAAAAAAAAACCACCAACAGCACAACTGGCCTGAGTACTATACCCATTGTTGAAAACCGGTAGAGTGAGCTGCTACAGGTTCTCCAGTAACTGGTTCTGTGTGAAGGAAGCCAGGCCTCATCTTACATGCTGCTACCCTGTGCATTCCTCTGCTGATAGAAGTCACAGTAGGAGCTGAATTATCTATGAAATTAGAATTAGAATTATCTATTACCCTGAACCCAAATCTACACGTTAGAGCAGATTTCCTTTCAGCATTATCAGTTCTACCTTGCTCAAAGTTCCTCTTTCTAAGAGATCTGAAGTGTAACCCTGTAGCCCAGTAAATACAGTACTGCCATTGCTATTAACAGGCCACAGGCTTTGTACTAACTCTGCAAGGCCTCAGGCGCTGTCTCGCTGACTTTTCTCTTGGCCTGCCTGGAGGTTTGTTTTTAAGCTAGTTTAGCTGTAACAGCTTTTTTTTTTTCTTTCTTTTAAAAAAAAAAAAAAAACACCCTAATTTGTTTTATTTTTGCTTAGGCTTATAAAAATTATGGTTATACTACATGCTTATACACAGATAATAGTAACAAGTCATTAGTGGATGGAGACGGAACTATTTATAATCCTAGCATAAAGTCATAGTGCAGAGAAATAAGGATGATGACAGCAAAGGCTGTAATCGTGGGGCACTGAATTTAGTGTAGAGGACTAAAAGCACGGGATGATACTGGAGACGGTAGGGCTAATTACTGGTAGTTAAAGAAATGTGAACTTTCGCACTGAACAAACACTGTTTTTTTTTGTTTGTTTGTTTTTGTTTTTTTAGGAGAAAAGAGAACCAACCCAGTATCTGGAAGACTGTTCATCTAGAGTAACTTCTGTTGTAACATGGCATTGAAGACCAAGGAAAACAAACAGAGCATGATGTAAAAGCGCTAGGAAACGTGCAACATAGAAACCATCATCATCATCAGCCTCCCAGCAAAGAGGAAGAAGAAACCCCTGTCATCAACATCATACTCTGCCCAGCAAAGGACCTAGGATGCTGACAAATTGCTATAACCACCCTCTGGACTGAAGCCAGCAACCTTACAACCCTGAGGTAGAGTGGAAAGGGGCAAATAACAGACGTAGGGACTGGGAAGCATGGTCCTAACCACTTCAGCTATTACCACTGAGACCTTTTCTGTAACAGTATTCTTTTATTTTTTCTTTTTTTTTTTCCTGTTTTAATTAACGCTGGACTGATGCCAATTATTCAATAGGCCTGAAAAGATTTCAATCATCCTAACACTAAATTCTTGGCTTTGCAAAAAAGGTGTCCTTTTTTTTTTTTTTTTTTTTCCTTTTTTTATTGCCCCCTAACAAGCTTGTCAGTGTAACAGGCTGTTACCGTTTCCGGATGAGGATGTTCCAGCTGTCCTTCCAGCGCAAATCCTTGAGCTCAGCAACTGATAGAGCGGGTTCCCCGTAAGTCACAGGGCTGAACGTGCAGTAGACAAGGTAAACTGAAGAGAACCAGGCTACAATCAATGCACTGAACATGCTTTTGGAAAGCAGCGATCTGGGATGCAGTTGGGGGAGAGAGGAGAGAAAGAGAATTCAATTTACATCAAAGCCTATCCAAACACTCCCTCCAACTGCAAGAGGCAGATAAAAGTGCCTGTCTTTTCTACAGGAAAAGGCCAAAATGTGGCCACAGCCATGTTGGAATAAAGACATTACTGGAAAAAAAGAAAAAAACCCAAAAAACAACAACAAAACCCCCACAAATCTACTGCTTTCCTACAATAGCTTGCCCAGAGGATAGCGCTGGAGGAAAGAACCATTTCACTTGTTTTGTCCTTATCTGTTAAAACTGTGTGATGACCCAGATACCTGCAGAGATGATTGCTGAGGTGCTGCAATACAATGGGAATCAAGAGAATCTGGAATGTGAGGGCAGGTAGGTAGTGGTACAGGAAAAGCGTTTTCTCCATCACGAAGAAGGGCAGGTAATTCACAGCCCAGCCTCCAACACAGATCCCCCCAGCTGATAGCCAGAGCTGCCATGCATCTGCAACAGAGAGAGGAGAACATCTCTGACCCTGATACCATCTTAAAAAAAAAGATGTCCTTGGAAGCTTAAAAGCCTCTAAGAGGTCACCTACTTGCCAGTTTGTAGTCTCTACAGTTTGTGTTAATGAAACCTTTAACTTGACCACACTCCACAATGGAGGGAAATGCTGAAATTATGTCATGCTTTTATGACGTACATATCAAGACAGACCCAACGCTAAAATGAGGCAGCTTCACAGCACGACAGCAGAACGCACTTCCAGAAAGGTTAGGGTAAAACAGGCCATGCATTGGAGATGACACCTCTTTCAGAAAGACCACATTTAAATAAATAACCACACACAGTCAGTATCTTCCTCTATTTCTTTTAAATCAGTCACCAAGGTTCTCAGCAGATTCCCAGTCTGATGCCGGGCGATTTCTCTCATCCAGGGACTCAAATATTATGTTGGCTACTCTATTGTTTCCCAAAGTACTTCTTGCTGGGCAGGAAGAAGAGGAAGTACTCCAGATGCCTGTGTGTCCCAAATAAAAATTTCAGAGCCACTGCACAGGAAAAGGTGCTAACATAGCTAAATACACAGCTGGAAAAACGTGGCTCTGGCCCCATTAAAGTTTAGTAGAACAAGGGAACCCGTTTCTATGGAATCAGACCTTCAGGAACGTCGTAAATTCTTCTCCTTCGTCGTACCAAGTACCACAGTGACAAACACATGTAGATCAGAGCAGCAACATTAGCTGAAGCCCAGGTGAGAACATTCCCAATGAGGTGGATCTGAGCCTGCAGGAGAGGAGATGATCTGAGCCAGAAGAAGGAACACGCCACAGTTCTTTTAGATAAGTTCAATTGTTACCCATGTACACTTGCTAAATTACAAGTTCAGAAGGTACCTGGCTAGTAACCTGGTCTTTCTTGGAACAAAGCAACCTGATAAATGTTGATGCTCTTAAGACTTTTGTTATGTTTTGTTTTGTTTTTTTAATGTAGGACATTTAAAAGATGCTACTGAAGACAAACTCATCTTCTAAATAGAATCAGTAATGGAAACTATTAAATTGAAGTTTAAAAAAAAAAAAGTGCAAGTAGTAGTGTGATTTCATTAAAATAAACCATTGTAAAATATGTCGCATGTCAAAAAAAAAAAAAAAGACATTGCCCTGGGAAAAAAATTATTTGCTTTGAAACACCTACGATTCTTAACACAATAAGAGTCCATTCCAGACCACTTCTTTGGATTCAACTCTAACTGCAGCCCTGCTCTCACTCACACTTTTGGCGCTTACATCAGAACCTGCCTGCTTTGTTCTTTGGGCTCACGTTTATTCCTGTCTTCAGACTTACCCCAGAGGTTGGGTGGAGCCAGTAGGCAATATTTGTATCCATTGTGATCCAGTCCAGAGCAGAGGAGCTGTATTTATGTTCCGTGTCTTCATTTTTCAATGTCAGTATCTTCCACTAGAACAAAGGAAATAGAAGGCTTTCAGAATTGGAACCACAATGGAGACACCAGGCATGGATGAGCAGCTCCAGATGTAAGATGGTTCTTAAGTTCTTAACCTGAGAGTGGAAAAAAAAAATTAATCTCTTGTACTGGCTACTGATCAATAACAGGGTTTTATTTTGTTCTAATAAAACGCATGTTCCTTAGTCAATTTCTGAAATGTTAGTAAGGGGCATCAACACTACTGATTTCACACATAAAAAACATTTAAAGTTCACTTTCAGAGAGATTCTGGATGCCCAGCAGCTCTTCCTCCCTTTTCTTTTTTTTACACAGTCACTCATGTATTCCTTACTGAATAGTACAGTTGAGCAGTTTCTAAAGCCTTTCTAAGGGCATTCAGATTTTTTTTTCAAACTGAGGGAGCCCAAACTACTCTATTAGCAAGGAATAAACAATGAATTTCCAGACTCAGAGTTTGCAGAAACGCCTAACTTCCTGATCTGCAATGGAATAAAGGACAAAGGGAACAGAAAGGGAATAGGGAGGACATTCACCTGCAATTCTGCGAATTTGGCCATGAAGCTGAGGTTTTTACTGATGTCCATCTGTGTAGGAGAGTGGAGCTCCACTTCCCTCTCTTTCTGCTCTTGGCCTGGAAGAAAGCAGTGCGGCTCAGAGAGCGCTACACAACAGCGAGAAACTAAGGGATGAGCCCACGATATAACCCTGCTCCTCACTCAAGGGGCCATTCTGCGAGAGTCTAATTGCGAGACTGCTCCGAGGGGATTTTTAAAGGTTCAGACGCCACGGTAGAGCCAGGACCCACTCAAAAGCTGTCCAAACCCACTGCAGTAGTCTGGCTGAGTGTGGTAGGACACCCTGTGCCAGTGACCATGAGAACATCCTCCTCACTCCGTACCCAGCACAAGTAATTCTATGGGACAGCATCCTTCCACCCACGTTCCACTGCAGCTGCAGTATATCCAACACAACAGGTAGGTTTGGTTCCTCTCATACTACGAAGAAATGTACTTTTATGCAAAACACACGCACACATCATGTATTAACACGATACCTTTCCATGAACAGGAAGGCCCTCATCACAGAAATCTGTCTAGAGAACATGGCTGAGACGTACTTTTCCCGTATCTGTGCTCTTCCACATTCCAAACCATGCTCTGATGGTAGCCTTTCGACAGCTTCTCTCCAACCACCTCCAGCTGCCGGTATCCCCACTCAGGTAACGATGCTCCACTGAGCTAAAAGTGAAAGACGATATTAGACTTACAGTCCTGCCAACTTGAACTTGAGGCTGGAAGTTTCTAGGCCCTGTCTGCGCAGCGGATTAGAGGAAGGGACTGCTAAAAAGTGTGTGAAGAGTCACCACACAATCCTGCCTCAACAAATGCTAGGGCTATAAAGTCAGTGATTCTGGCAAACGCTGTGACAAGATTCTTAACCGCTCCAGCTGCTATGAGCTACTACGCACAGACCCAGCACCAATTTCTGAGGCAGTGCCTGAGGCTCAGTTGTGTACAGTGGTCACAACCTCCTGAGAAGCAGGATAGCTCTGCATGCTGAAAAGGAATCAGGCCATGAGTAGGACTACCCGGAAAACACACTGCCTTTTTTTGCCTTTTACCATTCTGAGCAGGTTGATTGTTTCATTTTATTTATTTGTTTGCTTTATATACTTTGGGCCTTTTGGAGAACAGAGACTATGCAAGTTGCATGAAGGAAATGCTGTAGGCAGACAACCACAAACCCACTTACCTTTAGCACTGCAGAGGTGTTCACATGAACAAACCTCACTTCTGACAGAATTGTCTTCCACACATCCGTGTCAGATTCCCGATTTACAATTTCCTACAACAGACAGGTATTTTCATTGTCATTTTGTCCCAGCTGTTTCTTCCAGAAAACAACGTGCTCCTCCCTTCCCTTTGACTACTCACTACTCTCCAGAGGTTCTGTGCTGGCATGGAGATGTTATAATCAATGTAACAGGAGACTTCTTGGGAGTGGGGGCTAAGAGGGGCAGCAACATCGTGCCTGCAAGACAAGTAAAATAACCACTCACAGATGCTCAAATATCATTTACCAAATTTGCATGAAAAACAAAGGTACTGAATTGGCTTAGATCAGATTCATCAATAAAGCAAAACCAAATAACTGGTTTGTACAGATTGCACTGTTTACTCTGAAAGAGAACACTCCCCGTTAACAAAAGCTGCCAGGAACAGGCTTAGAGGAAGCCAGTACAGATGACTGCTGTCCTGGGCTGAAGAACAAGCACTGATTGTAACAAACAGAGAAGCTGTTCACTGGAGTTTCCGATAATGAACAAATTAGGTTTGGATGGGACACAGCAAAAACCCAAGCTCAGAATGTTCCCCTTCCAGATCTGAGTGATATTCCAGTGCATGCTCACTCCCTTTGGAGAGCAGGCAGGAGGCCATTTCACAGTGCAGTCTTTATAGGCAGGAACCCACAGCAGTCAGCCTCAGCACACCGGCTTCTCGAAAATACTGTCTTAACTTTGAGAGCACGCCCTTTATCCAGGATTACGCTATGAAAGTCAGTAGAGCCGTTAGATGACTTGCCAGCCACACAAAATAGTAAATAACTCCGCCTGCCTGGAGAAGAGGCAACGAAGGGGGAAGGATGGAGACTCACCAAGGGAAATATGTATTTATGAATCTGCAGAACTAGCATGAATTGTATCAGGTAACTATGAGTCAACATGTCTGCATCCATCATTAGCCCCTTTAAAGACCACTAGTACAGTAGACTAGAAACAGCCAGCAGGCACTGAATAGTTTCTGATTAGCATCACATCCCACTGCAAAGTTGACTGCACAGAGTAAGTAAGCACACTGGATCCTTCCTCTCGGGCACAGGGATGACCTACGTTAATAACCATCTGAGGCCCCTCCTAGCCCCACTGTTTAAGAATTCATGAATAACAGGTAGTTTCTAGTGCAGCTGAACATAAGGGTCACTGCACTTCCACCCTGAATAGCTATTCTGAAAAACGAAAAAACAGAATGAGCAAGCAGGCCTGGAAGAGTTGAGGATTGGGAAAAATCTTACGTGTTGAGGTATCGAGTCGTGATGCCATGGACCAGCTGCACAATGTGTCCATGTCTGACAGGACGGGGTGGGTTACTCACCACCAGCTGCTGCCTGATGGAGTGACACACAAGAGGAAGTGGTTACATTCTTCTTTCTAAATAATGCAACCTTGTCATGACCAAACTGTCAGGTCAAGAAGCTGCAGACAGGGATAAAAGGAGAGACATTGAGGCAGTAAGATGAGAAATACAAGCAACCGATAGATTATACCGGAATGGAGACAAAGCTTGTCAAGGCAAAAGAGAGTTAAGGGCAGAATGACTCAGGGAATTGGTAATGGGATACTGATACCCCAGCCTTTAGGTCAGTGGTCTGAATCCAGGTCAACCAAGAGCGAGTTCAGATTATTCCCATCCAACAGCTGTTTGGTGGCTCCGCTGAAATGCGTAAGTGCTTCAGTGAGATCTGACAGGTGTTCTTACTACCACTGATATCACTTTTGGCAGGCTCATAAGAGAGATTAATGGCTATCTCCACGAAGGAGAGCAAACTCAACTTGCCTCTGAACAGGGCTAATGCATGCTTTGGCAAGGGGGAATGCTGCAGCTGACCGAGCTGCTGCCTGTACTTGATCACTCTGTGAGGCTCACAGAAGGCCTACACATTCTCCAGGCCTCATGAGAGTCTTGAGTCTGGAGAATTTTAAGAAGATACCATTTTCTGGGGTTCCCACAAAGACTCTGGCAGAGCCTACATTTTTAAGGTTTGTACTATGGCCAAACTTTGCCGGTGTGGATATGATTTACGATGGCACACAGTCCTTCTGGTAGGACTGTTTATACAGTTCCCAGAGTAAGATGAGAAACCTACAAAAGCAACTTTTTGACCAGCATAAAATGACATCACACAAGGGCTTTCACTGGCAGAGGTACAGGAACAAAGAGTCCTGCTCCTAACTGACAGTTACACTAGGAAAACGCTCAGTCACGGACATGCGCTTGGAATTCCTCCTGATGTGGCAGGCTCTACAGCTCATCCCACTTTTGAAGTACAAAGAAACACTCATTCTGCAAAAGTGATTTCTACTCTCTTCTGAGACCTGTTCAAGTTTGATTAAAGCCCATCAAGGCACGCTAATGCCATGGCGTGCACACTTCAAAAAGCAGAACTTCACTTTCATGCAAAGCACCTGAAGAGTTCCCGTCAGTCTCACTCCTCTTTAAAGTTCCCTTTGCACACAGCACAGCTCAAGCTCTGGTGGGAGCCGTACAAATAGAATTTCTGAGCCTTCAGTAATGCTTCTAACGTAACGAGGATGATGGGGCAATCAGCCAGCCTTGACCAACTCTGCAGCTGAAATGACTTTCCTCAGGGTCACATATGACTTCGACTTTAGTCTAAACTAAGCACTACTTACGTTGTGGAAGTGTATTGAAGCTCTGCTTACAGTAGGTTGGCATTTAAGTCTCTTGCATACTCACATTCCAGGATCTTTGACAATCCACCAGTTGTTCACATCCTTGAAGGGATAACAGGTCACTTGCTGTTGATGGGAACTACCTCGGCCATTCTCATACCTGTACAGAAGGTTTAAAAAAAAAAAACAGGTGTGAAATAGCAAGCACATTTCTGTGCTCAACAGTCACAGCAATACAAATCTGCACCAGATCATTGGCTCCACTCTTAAAGGGCACAGAGAATCTGTGCACCTACAGCGTGCTCTGAAGGCTTAATGAACAGACTGCCAGAACCCAAACTAAGACAGCTGGACTGCGAGGTGAACCAGAGCGTATTTTCACCCTAACATTACATAATAAACCAGATTCCTCACCTGATGGGATAAGTATTCTTGTGAGAATGGAGCCAACACTGCATGGGTTTGCCCAGTACATTCCGCAGAGTAATCTGAGAGCCATAAGCCACCTCTAAGGGTTGACCCTGAGTGATTCGAGCTAGCCCACCCTGCGAAGCATAATGAAAGGATAAACGGAAAGAAGCAGCAGCAACCCAGAGGCTGTTTAAATTCTAAGAAGAGTCACTTGTCACTTTAACATAGCAGTAGCTTAGCATAATGCCGTCTCATCTGGTTGTATCTAAAAAAAAAAAGAATCCAAGTCTTGCAGTACCACACTCACCAGAAATTAAATAATTCAAAGCCTGCAAGACTGCGGGGTCTTAGGGAATATCCGTAAAGCCATGCTGTACACACAGAAGGACTAAGCAGTCTCTTACAGATAAATTACACAGTCATCCTTGTAGTATATAAATGTCGTCCAGCAGAGGATTAAGTGACATCATTACATATGGCTTGCTTTCACCTACAGATGACACTGTGTGTTAGCAGTATACAACTGGATACATTGGTATAGTTTTCCTCGTAGTTGACTGTTTCAGACCGTAATCCCCTATTTTTTTCCCCGTTAATTTATCGGATTAAAATAAATTACAAATATAATCAATTTTCAATCAATATTCAAATAATACACATTTCCTTGTTGGACCAATTCCAACACCATCACTTAAGAGTTCAGTACTGTATCTGTTCCTGCGGAGTTTTCTGTGGAAAAGGCCAAGTCTTCAGCAGAAGAGTGAACAGATTGCTCTTAGTTCATTGGGAAAAAGCCTTTCATCTACTGTTAAGATTTCTGTCCCTTATTTTTTAAACTTAAAGCAGCACTACAGTACCAAAGCAGTAAAATGACATAAAAGGAACAAATATGCAGGATCAAAGAAACAAGAATGCAGGCCTTTCTTCTAATAGCAAACACAAGGCACATCTGCCCCTCTTCTGCCCTAATAAATTAGTTTCATGACCACATTTTCTTTACCTCTAAGCTGGCTTGGAAAGCACTTGTCATAATTTGGTCATGAGGCCCAGAGCGATACAGCAAAGCCAAGTGAACGTAGAAGAAGGACAGGTACATTGCCACTGGGATGATGATGAGGGCCAGCCCCCGAGCCAGAAAATGGCACAGCAAGGAAACCTAGAACGTAAAGAATTCACTGTTTTCACGTTCCAGATACTAAACGTACCAGTGCACTTGGCTTGTTTTACTTGCCCCTCGTTCAGCTACAACACTGAGGACAGCTGGATAACTTCCGCTGAAGATTTGAACTGGAGCCAGCAGGAGGCATGTGAAATAGCAAAGGTTTTAAGCCACAGATCACCAAGACAAGGATATCAGCAGAAAAGCCAATCTCACTCACACGCTTTTCGTAAACTTAACTCCATCTTCCCCAGCAGCTGAGCTGGGAAACTGTTCTACAACGTGAGGTTTTGCAAACTATGACAGGGGACTGTAGTCCAAAAAACAGCTACGGGCAGAATCGTTAGCTAAAGGTTTGGAAGTCTCCCGGTTAGTTCCTGTTCTGAAAAATTACACGTAATGTATTTTGAATGTTGTGTTACCTACATTTGACAAGTTCTGGTCTCCTATCATGTGCCAGAAGTGGAGTCCTGCGATGGCCAAAAGCAGCATATAGGTGAACAGACCCATATATTTCACTCTGAGAAGAGGGCACATAAAAACTTAACAGGGTTAAAAACCACACACATCTATGACTGTTACTTAATGCAAGATGTATATATTCAAACTCTCTTGAACAGGATGCATTAAAGTCCAAGGGCTTTGTTTCATGACAAGGTCAGTATGCCAATATACATGAGCTTCAAGTCTTTGACCCTAGAGGAATTACTTCCTAGAGAAAGTAATTTGTTTTGCTAATTAAATTAAATAGCGGGCAGTGACCAAGGCAGAGAATCTTCTTTGCAACAAGGTGACAGATCAGAAAGCACTGAGTTCCTAAATTCAGACTTACTGAAGCTTGAAGGGATTAGGAAGGAGGGGTGAAATGCTGATGCTAATTTATAACATAAAGAGAGCGCTGAGAAACATGTTTTGTTCCTCCCAGGACATTATCCTCTAATGCCTGGTATTGCTCCCCCAGTGAATTGATACGCTTACTTTAGAAATAGTCTAGCTCAAAAAAAAAGTCACGGGGAAGTCTGCTCAGAACAGCACCAAGAACGAAGCCCCACAGATACCCCAGATGGTAGGCAGGAAAGTCAGCTTAGCAAAACAAAGATACGTCCGTACTTACCCAACTGCACAAGAACAAGCTACTCCAGTCAACAGAAGCCAAAACCACCAGCTTCCAGAGAAGGAACTTAAACAAAAGGACAAAAGAAAGAACATCAGAGTGAGATCTGGACACTCGCTTGGATTTCTAATATACTTGCTTGAACACAGCTAATTTAACTTGGAAAAAAACTGCAGGACTCCACTATTTCTTCTTCTACTCCGAGGTATCTCATACTCAACCTCCCAGGCCACCAACTCTTAGCCGTGACCTACAGGATACTGTTAAATGTACTTCTCTGTATTCTGAAAAGCAATTCTGAGCGCGACAGGTCTACCTGGCTTCTGATACTGCAGATAAAGCAATGCATTCAGCCACTTGCTGAACTGAAGTTTAAAGCTGATCTTACTTTAAGATCATGTTCTGCAAGGATCAGAGAACTACGAAGTCACAAGAGAAGAGTCAAAGATCTCTAGATTCAGTGCCTGCAAACAGCAACCAAGGAAAGTAAGTGACCTACTAGCATCAGTATTTCTGTGGAGAGAAGGAAACTAAAATAACAACACATCCGGGTAGGCAAATGTGTGCTTCCCAAGGGATTTTATTTTAATTAAAAAATAAAAAAGACAACCTTGCTACCAGTTAAAAAAGATCTTAATACTGTTCAGAAGAGCAAAACCTTGGGACAGCCTTGCGAGAAGTCAAAGTACTGGATTTTACAGAGAGAGGAAGTGCATTTCAGGAAGGTGAAGTGACCTACAGAAAACCATGCACAGCCTGTGATCAAAAGAGTCATCAAAAGAGAATCCAAAAGGGTAGGAGACAATCCATCTTTACCTGTGGCTCTGCAAATTGTAAAACTTCAGGTAGGACAAAACTGCAAGCAGGATAAAAAATATCAGTATTGATTCCAGGAGCATGAACCTCGACTGAGTGATCAAAGAGTTCTCTGTTGGAAAAGAGAGACAGACAAAAAATTAGAGAAATTTATCTGCAGGGAAACTACTAGGCAAGTGCTCTACCTCAGAAAATTACATCATTATGCAAGGGCAGAACCTGCCCCTTTAAGAACGGCCCATCCATTTCCAATCCTACTGGCTGTATTAGGGAAGTGTTGGGTTTAAAAGGACAAAAACCTTCTGACAGGAGCAAAGTGCGTGGCCAATACTAGTCCCCAAGGACACAGAAGTGGGCAAGAAGTAAGAGTCTGGCAGTAGGCGGATAAAGCTGCTGTGCTTGCCTACAAAAGTAAAGAAAATGAATGACGGGATACTCAGACAGGTGTTTCTCAAGGCAACAAGAGTCAAGGCAGTGACCCAAGTAAGCGATGAGCATGATGATGGCTCTTCAAGAAAGAGAGCTGCATGGAGCTATGGCTGCCTTGTGCAGGGTTTCCTGAACTGGAACCAGAGCAGCAGGTAACTAGGAGAAGTTTCACTTATCAAACTGCTAAAGGGCTGGTGAGAGGCTCCTTCCCTCTCGGGCGGTTGCAAGCAAGCAATGAGAGAAAACGAAAAGAGGTATAAACATGAAAACAGTGTCAAATCATGGTGCTAGGGACGCAGGCTGGCTTGCTGCAGTTTGGAGACAAAGAAATTTGATGAGCTCCAACTATAAGTAGAGCCCTCCTGCTGTTAAAAACCAGTACGTTGTAACTCATCCTGTAAACCTCTGAGGAAGAGAGTAGAGGGCTTCTCGCAGGCAAGAAATGTGTTTTTTTGTGAGGTGTTAAGGCTGGCTGCTTCGCTCAATAACGAAGTGAACTAGCAGTATCTCGTTCAAAAATACAGTCTAGAACGGCAGCCTGCTGCAGAGTGGTAAGGACTGAGGGGACGAGAGAGGCCCAGCAGAGACCGATACGGACCAGGACTGTAACTGGGCTCCAATGTTTTGTTAGCATTCTGTGGGGAGATGCTATTCCAGCCACTGCTCCTTTTACATGCTTTAAACATTCAAAAGGGGCGGGGAGGGCTATACCCTCCCTGTATGAAGAACGGGGCCCATGGGAATAATCTTACCTAAGAGAATCAGAAGAGCAGCTCCAAGTGCAGCACAGTGGGAGAAGTGCAGCTCTACCAAAATCTGGTATGCTAAAGGCACACAGAGAGCACCAGCCAGCGCTGGCAGAAGTCGCAAGGACCAAACAGGAACATTCATACTATATTCTAAAATAGGAAACAACAGTGACGCAAGAATTTGGAAACTATTAATTGCAGAGAAGCTGGTTCAATACACAACTCATTAGGACTACAACAACTTGTTGAACGTGACTCCTACTCTTAAGTTATTTATTGTCTGGCTTTTACTACTTAAACTGTTTTCACTAACTAAAAGTTTTTGTGCTACGGGAACATAATGCCTTAAACTTCCATCAGAGACCTGCAGAAGATTTATTTAAAAGGAGAACTGAAAGCATCAGATAAAGCTTTATTTCTGCTACTCAGGAAAAAAGGAACCTGTCAGGTGCTGAAACACTGCTTACCTTCTCAAAAGAATGAGACAGTTAAAATCAGCTCTTACCAGCTCCAATTCTGTTCCATAAGAAGTTTCCATCAAATCCCCCTAAGTAACCTAAAACATAAACAACCATTCAGAATTTCCAGGGTCAAAACTAGAGTACAAAAACGGGTGCTAAACTGGCCCTGGAACCATTTCCCAAACACACACCTCCTCCACGCATGGAAGCTTCTTTCCGAAAAAGGATCCTCTTTCCTACCGTTTTGCCTGTAAGCGGCGCTTGATAAACTGCAGAAGCATTGAAGAAAATACATTGGGAACAACAGATTCTCAGTGACAAAGGTAAACGTAGATTTAATCCTTCCTTCCCATACAGACGCTTCTCTGTCGTGCACGTCTCAGCTACAGAAAGGAACTCAGGCCTTAAACTCAAGTTTGTTGCCTACTATTTCTAGTCACTAGCAGCTCTCATCTTACGTTCCTCTTTATTGAAATGACTGGATAACAATGAAGTAATGGATACGTGGCTCTATTGCTTCCCAAGTACACGTGACAGCCCTGTAACAGTACTAAATAAGGGAAATCCTAACTCTCTCTACATCAGAACCTCTCAATTTGCCTTGTACTTTTTCCCAACGACAGAATCCGGCAATTCATGTTTAACCAGCACTTCTCTCTTCCAGAGCAACTGACAGCAGACGCTTCCCAACTTCAGCAGATGCCTTACCTCCCAAAGCTAGCAGCATATGGCCAAAAGGTGGGCCACTGTCATCCACAAAGAAGATTCTCTTCATGTAGAGCGAAACGAACTGGCCATAATACACTTCATCAAAACTGAAACATAACAGACAGAAACACATCAAGTCTAAATGGAAGTATGCAGCAAGCTACAGGGATACTAGGGAAGGAAACACTGATTTGTTGGCAGAAGGCTAAGAATACAACGAAGCACAGTGAAGCACTTCGGCCCCCTTACCTTCCCCTCTTGAGATTCTGTTAAGGAAACACTACCAGCACGTTTACTGGGGCTGGCATCAGGCTAGCTCTGCTCTTCTGCTGCTGCACTCTTACTCACAAGAGTTTAAAAAACAAAAGCCTGTGGCTCCAGTAGGAAGTAAAACATTTTACTCACACCACAGCCCGTGGATAGGAAAGCCCCCGAAGACGACTTATTAATCCCATCACAGTCAATGCCAAGAGGTTCATATTTATCTCTGCAGTAACCACAATTGGTTTCTTCAGAAATCCCAACATCCTGTCAGAGGTCTGTGCAAACCTTTGAGAGCAATAAGAGAAAAGCAGCAGTCATCCTTTTGCTGTCTGAAGATCACTTGACAGAAAGCATCACCACTTTCAGCTACCGGTAACCGATGGTAACCGACCTTCCAAAGTTCTCTTGGTTCACACATGTATGTGTTTTCTGCTAGATACACTGTAGTAACTTTAAATCTGAAAATGAAGGAGTTACTAAACTTCCCAAAAAAACCCCACCTAACTTTTCATCTGCCCTGCTTCTACGTGTATATGATTCTCTGCCATCAGTAATAAGCTAGAAACTTTACTTCTTCTTACACTGGTTTCGCAGAAACACAATAGCTTAATTCAAGACCATATTAAGCTGCTCACTGCGCTATGCACTCCTCCCAGGCCAAACTCTGGTGCTAATGGTACACCAACCAGATGCTCAGACACCAGATGCTCTCATAGGTCTTTTTTTTTTTTTGTTTTGAAGTTATTTCCTTGTAAACGGAGCATATTTGGTTGGTCAGGGGAAACCCACAAACATCCTCTGTCTTACAAAGTAGGCTATGGGAGCACTAGTGTAGGTGATGTAGGACTAGCGCAACCTAGGGGCGAGGGAACCCCGCAGAAAGCATGACTCAATTTTGCGCTGCTCCTGTGGGCAGGAAGAACTGCTAAGAGTTAGCTATACTGTCAGAAAATCGGACACCAGTACTGTGTCTCCTCACCTCAATGCAACTGAAAGTTACTGGAACAAATCCTTCTGCGTGGCTTTGATCAGGTGAGAACAAAGCAAGCTGCGAGCACATCACCACCACCAAGCGCAGTAGCACGGTCCTCGTTTCTCACTACCTAGAAAACACAAGTCCTGTTCAGCTGTGCGATGCTCTGCAGAACTGCCTTCTGCAAGAAACCCCTCGCAAAGCTGCGCTCTCTACCAGCACCAGGAACCTCACAGTGCTGCCCCACATGCCTGTGCACAGGGGCAGGCCCTGTGACCCCAAAGAGCACTCTGAGGAGGGGAGAGGACCCCACTTTGCATGAGTCCCTTTCTCCTTGCAGTGCTGGCAGGCCTTGAACCCTGGGGCAGGAGGAAAGCAGGACCTCTACTCCCCCAGCCAGGCCTGGTACCCTTCCTTAAGCCTTATGGGGGGGGGCAGTGGAACCACTAACTCCTCCACCAGTCCCTGTACCCCCTTCTTGAGCTTTATGGGGGGCAATAGGACCCCTAACCCTCATAACTAGCCTCCTGCCTTCCCCTTGAGCCTTACAGGGAGGTAGACGGGACCCACCAGCTGCCCCCTGCTAGGCCCCATACCCCTCCCGCACTGCCTCGAGCCTTATGGGGGAGCGATAGGATCACTGACCCCCC